AGGAACAGAAGTGCTTGAAGTCTCCTTTGTGGCACCCGCCTTGCAACTACATTGGGACCCCCCCCCCCCCCCCCCATTATAGAGTAGGAAATGTTAGTCCACCTGTATGTGGCGTTGCCGGGCTGAGTGCTGGAGATCTAACCTGAAACAGGTGGGTTGAGTTGGATTTGGGCTAACGAATTAACTGGTCGCGCTCAGACAGCAGAGGGAGAGAGGGATGGACCGAGAATGCACCTCAAGACACAGGACCCGTTATTTCTCCTTGTTGATTTAAGACGTGTTTAAAAACTCTGGTTCAGGCGGGAGTAGACTGAGTGACGGCGGCTGTGAGGATCCAGTCTGACTCTTGTTAGGGACACGGAGGAGAGAGGACCAGAGAAACAAAAACAACATTGTGCCACCCTGTAGAAGCTGTTGTTAAAGTTTAGATTTGCTTCAGGACGATAAGTTGCTGTTAAACAAACTTAAAAATGGTTCAGGTGGTTTTCTTGTTTTCCATGTCTGCTTCTCCCTGGAGATGCAAGGGACATGAGGAGATGAGCAAAGTCAAAATGGACAGGTTAGAGGAAAGGTTTGTTGGCTGGTTAGTCGAGGAGATCCATCAGATAGGTAGGCTTTCATTAAATCCCAGTTCACCACACACACTCCTGCTCATTACATTATTATCAGCAAGAATAGAATCAGCATCCTAAAAAGTTGTGTTTTTTTTTTAAGTTTACAATTTAAAAAAAAAATCTTCAATATGTTCTGCAGTAAACCGACTTTAGTTCCTGCTCCAACTCATCAGAGATGAGACCCTTGGGTTCAAACTAAATAAACTCAGCCAGCCATTTAATTCCATCTTGCTTATTGATGTTGATGTTATTTAACTGATAATGGTTTTTAAAGCTCACCTACATCAGTTAATTAAAAAAAACATGTAGGCCTAATTATTATTTAACAACCTGTTCAAATGCACCAGAATGCAGGAAATGACATCTAAGTTGTTAGAAAGATGACCAAAAATATTCTGCATGTTCATTAAAAGGATAGTTCAGATATTATGAAGCATGTTTCTGTAGAAGGTTTGAACAACTTGCGTTTGGAGAAATGGAGAATGGTTGTGAATGGTGCTAATGGCTAAACCGCATGATGCCATGGCGTGGTGGTCTATGCAGTCTCCACTGGAACCTCCTCAGCCCCAGTCATCTGGTACCGGGCCGTCTTCTTCGATGATGTACGGCAGACTGCCCGTTCGCTGACATCCGTAGCAGACCAATCGCAGTGCTTGATCTGTCAGGTGGGCGGGATGTTGGTGCAACTGAGCGAAATTAAGATGGCGCCAGCTCTATAGCGGTCCAATCACAGCGCTGTGGAGGTGGTGCGGATGTTACTGTGATGGAGTGAAAAAACAAAGATGGCGACAGCTCATTTGAAACGACTTTGGCATCAACTTTGGACTGATTTGACTTGGGCTTTTCTTTGAGTCGAGCAGATAAAGGTGCTCAGTTAGAAAAAAGTATTTGCACCTTTTTTGACGACGCATGGCGGACTGCCCCACTGACTGACATCTAAAGCGATGAGCATGTCACCTTGTTTGTTATCCAGTAGCATGTGGAGACATGCTCGAAAGACAGCCCGCCCCATGACTCAGAGCCGTCAGTGGGCCGTGTCCAGATTATAGACTCACATATTTAGGGTGGCTTGCCAGGCTGGATTCCTCCTGCAAATAATCCCAGAATGCATTATAAAAACAAACTGCAGAATGCAAACTTTACAACAGTTAAACGTTTATACTGTAGTTTTATAAAAATGACAAACATTCTTAACATCAGAGCATTAAGGCAACATCATTTTGTCTTGTTCTGCTGTGATCAGCTGTTAGCATACGAGTCTGGTCAGAAATGATCTATTCTCACCAAACTGATGCCATTCGAAGAGATATTTGCAACAGATAAATGATGAAATATGTAAATGGTTTCTGAATTCTCCTTTTGGTGTGTTGTGTTTTCACAGCTGGAGCAATACTACAAAACCGATCCGCTCCTCGTTCGCTTTTACACTCAGTCCGTGGTGACTGCCTTCAGGTGTGTCTGCGATATTAAGGTTGTGTAACTAGTGAAGGTTCACTTAATGCTTACGGAGGTTTCTGACGGATTTAGGGAGTGATTTATTGATCTGTAATGGTGAATCACAACAGATAAATTTTCCTGTGCTACAATCTAAACATCACATCTCGATTTTTGCAACATTTCATTTCTTTATTTGATTTCTAAGTTACACCTCTCTTTTTCTTCTTCTGAATTTTAAACATTTTTAACTAGCTGACATTTTTTTCTGTGCATTTGCTTCACTTTATCTTTCTGTTATGTTGAATACATCAGTGAAGGTGTGATGGCCTATTACTGGTCCCAGTTCGATATTCCAGTTAGCGACCTGGAGATGGTGCCGGAGTTCTCCGAGGAGCGGGTGTTGGATGCTCTGGATGCAGGCATTAAGGAGCAGAAAACCAGGAGTGCTAATATCCAGATCCGTAAAATTACTGCTTCAGGTAAGTGTCATCTGGAGCAGGTGTGGGCAAATGAAATGTTTCTTTAACCCTTTGATGCATGAATTATGAAATCTTCAACCATGATTTTTTAAACAATTTTTTTCATTCATCTTTAGGTGTGAATGAAACAAATTTCAACAAATATTTTTTGTAACATTTTGTTAATTTACAAATAATTTATTACATGTCCAGCTCAGTGGACAGTGTGCATTCTGAACATGAAATATGTTGGCTTGCCTTACTGAAGTCCAAATGGAGGGGCTCACATGCAATAAAGTCTTCAACAGCTGTGCAAAATAGCAAAAATAAATAAATAACAATTTTGAGTACCTGTCCACTGTAGTGACCATTATGCATCAAAGGGTTAATGCTGGCTCCAGATGATCTCATTCCACCATCAGGACCGTTAGCGTTTTGTGAATATAGACGAAAATAGGATTGTTGTCACGTCCCATCAGCATGGCCTCGTATCCGCGTTGTAGCAGCTTGCTCTGCATTGTGCTGATAAGATGATAACTGAAGCCAGACCTCTCGGCTTGTGCTGCATCTGAGATTGCACATTTTATGCTGTTTGGATCCTCTAATGATATTAGCTGGGCCCTGGCCCTGCCTTGAGACAGCCATTTTTCTTCCTTTTGTCTTCTCAGCATTCACGTTGCATTTGTCGACATGCTGGCCATCAGCCTAGTGCTGGGCGGCCGTGTGCTTCAGTGTTTTTTTGTTGTCTTCTTTTTAAAATGATTTCTGTGCGTATGATTTGATGTTGCTGTCCCAGATTGTTAGACAGAGACGTACGAGTTGCCGCTGTAGGGCAAGGTGAGCTGGAGCAGAAAGAGCTACACACCATCACCAGTTCTCTTAACCGCAGGGAAATGGAACAGAAAATGTGCAACCCAAATATTTCAGACATCAAATTCTACCAGCCTTCCCAACTCTGGTGACCCCTTCTTACCATCCCTCCTGTTTTTCTTGTCACCCCACCCTGTGTCTCTTCCTCCAGTCACAGATGCCCGCATGGTCAGGAAACCTCAAGTTGGTGAGTGCAATCCGTCTCGTTTCAATCACTCGCTGCTGTACTTTTCCAGCTGGCTAGCGGTTAGCCCTCCTGCCAGTCGGGAACAGATGACTGGCCTGCCCTGTAGCATGCAGGTGCTGCTCCTGTCAGATTGTGATCTTTGAATCAGTGCTGGAGAAGTCGGTCGTTTTTCCTGACACTTGAATTTGATACCATCTTTTTATTTACAGTGTTGTGATACAATTACATTGCCTTGTAGTGGCTGCAGTATTTTACAGTGGATAGAACGTGACCCCAGTTGAAGTCTAGTTGTTGTGATGTACTAAATAAGTCCCGTCTAAACCTTTTACTCCTTTAACATCACATGCGTCCTCTACGGTCCAACTGGAAAATCCAAGAAATCTGTCACAGGGAAGATATTAAAAAGGTTTAGTAAGCTGGCTGCAGTGTTAACTCCCTTAGACACTTTATTAGGAACACTTGATGATTCAGTCACAACAGAGATGGGAAATCGAAGCAGAAACTTGAACCCCAGAAATGTGAAACTGGACTTGAATTAGATCCATAAAGTCTCAAATAAAAGATACAAGATTTGAACCTTGAATTTGAAATGGTGACAGGTGAATTACAGCCTTCAGTCTCGTTGACTCGCCTGCCTTTGAGTAAAGTGACTGATTAAAGCTGCAACAGCAAATCTGCAAAGCAAGCTAGCAACATTTGTGTGATCCCAGAACCCGCGTTGCCACAGGAAACGAGAGCACAAAACACCAGTCTGTTTGTAGGTCCAAACATTTGTTTTCTGCTATTTCAAATGCTGTTTTCTTTTGTTTCTCCTGCTCTGATGTTATAGAGCAGAGAACGTCTCACAACAGCGGTGTTCTGCTGTAAAATGCACAAGCGCGTAATGCCTGGAGGACCTTGGTAAAGGTGTAAAGCCTGATTTATGCTTCTCCGTCTGCTCCACGAGGGAGACGCACGCACTGACAGAGATGTTTTCCTCTTGGACTTCTCTGTCTCCTGGGGAGTGTTGCAAAGCAATTCCCCGCCTAGACCACAGAGGGCGTAGCGCTGTTCTGTGGTATCCTGTCATGTATCCGGTCCATGATGGTGCATTTAATAGTGTTTTTTACTTTAACAGATGCAGACAAATTTGCCTCCCCTTCTTCTCCACGTCTTCATGCGCTCAGCACCTCTAAACCCACGTTTACTGCCATTACCATCCACAAGTAAAACGCTTGCTGCGTAGCTTTTTACTCGTCCAGTCACGGGTGAATGAAAGGCTCACATTCAAGCTGCTCTGTGTCTGTCTTTAGATATCTTCGGCTCTTTTGATTTTCTTGGGAGCACAATGGCGGTGCTGTTGACAAAGCGGCGTCCTGACCAATCAGAAGCTTGGGTTCTCTGTCTTGTTGGACAGATGTTTAGAGAAGTGGGCACGACTCCGAACGTCCTTGCGAGCCTGCTGGAGAGCGTTGCGTGTCTCCGTCCCGCGCAGACGGAGAAGCATAAGTTAGGGACAGCAGTAGCTTAACAGGTTGAGCGGGTTGTCCAGTAATCGGAAGGTTGCAGGTTCGATCGCGGCTCCGAACAGAGAATTCTGCTGTTGTGTCCTTGGGCAAGACACTTAACCCACCTTGCCTGCTGGTGGTGGTCGGAGGGACCGGTAGCGCCTGTGCTCGGCAGCCTCGCCTCTGTCAGTGCGCCCCAGGGCAGCTGTGTCTACATCGTAGCTCATCACCATCAGTGTATGAATGTGTGTGTGAACGGATGAATGATACACTGTAGTGTAAAGCGCCTTGGAGTCCTTATTCTGAGAGGCGCTTTACAAGTGCGGGTCATTTATCATTTAGGCGATGGCTTGATGAGACCGACCACCGGATGATCTGATAGGTGGTTTTGGTCCAAGCCGTGTTATTGGCTGAGGTTTTTTAGACACCACTTTATTATTACCGTAAATCCTCTAATACAGGCCCGGGCCTGTATTTGACTCAAGCTCATCAAGCTCCAGGCCTTTATTGGAAGGAGGGCCAGTATTAGAGGCAGGCCTCTATTTCTATTTGAGCAAAATGAACTAATGGTTCGCTGGAGTTTTTGACAATTAAAAGTGCGCCCACATTTTCAAAGTTAAACACATTTCTTTTAACAACGGTAGTTCCTGCTTCAGCCATCTCCCCCCTCCCCCTGCGCAGCGCTCACTGATGCGCCTGCAGCCTCTCGGGGTTCCTGCTGCTCTAAACATTAAAATAATTATTTCATTTTCTGTTCCTCACTTCTGATGACCTTCAATGGTGTCTGTTTGTTGCAACAGCAGGTACAAAAACTAACTTGTTTTTATTTGACTATTTTTCTGTCCTGTCTGTTTATTATCTTCCTGCATCTCCTCTCAATCCTAAAGAGAAACTGCTACCTGGGTTCATATATATTCACCTCATGAGTTACCTTTGAACTGCAGTTCTAAAAGATCTACCGACCGCAAAAACAGCGGAGCGCTTGCTGTTTGGCGGCTGTATCAGTGATCAGTGCGTCGGAGGACAAGGTGATGCGCGCAGCGTCCCGCTCCACAGCATGCAGCGAAACACATCAGGCGCAAATAAAAGACAGAAAACATTAAAGGAAATGAACTGACATGAACGATCGCGTGTTAAATTAGTTTTTGAGGTGGCGACACCTGATTGTTACTGTGGCCGTGCTCAGGAGGCAGCTCTACCGACCGCGAAAACAGCTGAGCGCTCCCTGCTGTGATCTGTGCGTCGGAGGACAAGTTGATGCGTCCCGCTCCACAGCAGCGATACACATCAGGCGCAAATAAAAGACAGAAAACATTAAAGGAAATTAACCGACATGAACGATCGCGTGTCAGTACCTACGGTCTGGCACTTGAGTTTTACCCCCAAAAATAGAATGTGATCATACGATAATTCAATAGGGAGCGTGGTTTCACAGACGCGGAAGTGATAGCGTCGGTGCTCTAGGAAACCCCCGAGCGTTCGAGCGTCAACGAAGTGACATGGAAATGCCGGGCTTTCCAGAAGTAAGTAAGATAACTTACTATGAGCTGATAGTTCGTTGGATTGATCGGTAGGTTGGAAACTCTGATCGTGAATCTGAAGAAACGATGACTGAGTGGTGAGCTGGAAAGGCGACTTCCGTTTATAGCCGCGGTTTGTGACGTAGGTGCGACGTGAAGGGAATCCCCGCGAGGGGCATGCTGGGAGTCCCTACTTCGCAGATTTTCACCTATCGCGGCCAGGTCTGGAACGCATCTACCGCGGAGGGATTGCTGTAGTTCATACACCCCCTACTGCTGCTCTCCAGAGTGTTCTGCAGCATAATCAGCACGTTCTCTTTGAACTTGATAGTGTAATGACCTGGCTGGGGTTGTAAGCCAGGTGCATTCTGGGTATTGTGTTATATGTGTTTCCTATCGTTCTGCTAGTTCCTATGTGCTGATTTGCGTGTTGTGTGAGTGTTATGTAAGCCACAGGGAAGGTGATGTGTGTTCTGTGGAGCGGGTTGAATTAGCATGGTTAACTGACACCGTGACTCTGTGTGGTAGGAGCGTGATAGAGGATCGTGTCTAGCGTTACAAAGCTTGAAGAAAAGGCCTAAAAAAGGTCTGCGTGAACTTCTACTGCCTCCTGCTGGTTGATTTGGGGACTAAAACCCTGCCGCTGGGACGCTCGTACTTGCTTGTTACCACATGCCATCCGGCCACAATAAGAGACCGGCCATTATTTGCCTCCGCTGACTCAGACACCGGCCAGAATTGGCGACCCGGCCTTTAATTGAATACCGGCCTGTATTAGAGGATTTACGGTATTATTATTATTATTAGCTTTACTATGTGTCTTAGATCGTTGTTAAGAGACGTGAAAAAGGGTTTTTAGCTAGCGTGTTTTGCAGATTTGCCATTGTAGCTTTATCATGAAAGTGCGTTTAGCTGAAGTAGTTGAACTTTCCTGGCGTACACTGATCTGCCCTCTACTGGAAGGGTGACTTGGGAACTGGGGTCTCCATTAATTTTGGTCAAACATTTTCCGGTATTCAACACTGAAGATAGAGGTTTTCTTTTCTCAGTATTAGAAAACCCCAATCATACATCCAAATCGAGCAAAGAATGAACCAAAGAACCCTAACCTGAAGAAAATGAAAGGCTTAAATTTGGTCCAATCAGAGCTCACACCTGAGTTGCATAGAAGTCTTGTGGGGTGTTGGTAAAAGGATGTGCAAAAGAGTTTCAATCTATTGGATCTGAAGCACTTCTGCAAAGAGGATCCAGTAAATGTAATAAAGTTGAGGTATGTTATGGTGCCTGACTTCACAATAAGGTCGTGGTTTAGAACTGAATAATGCTTCACCTCGACTATTAGGATGTGAGCTCTTATGCAACCAGTCTACTATGTATTTTAAATAACATTTCATTTTTATAATTGGTTGGTTTTTAAATTACAGAATAATGTCATTGTAATAAAGGTTTGTAAATAATTAATGTCGTTTAAAGAATCTGGACACAAAAGGTGCAATATGTAGGAATGAAGTAAGAGTTTTACAGTGAAAGAATGTCAAAACAGTCAAATGCCTCATGTTGGAAGGAAGATTATACTGTGACATATTTTATTCTCAGCCGCTGGGGGGTTGTCAGATTTTAGACACTCATCATAGTGACTCCCTCTCTGGTTTAGAGCCGTTTTGTACCATCCACGATAGCACTGCTGTCTTTTTTCTGTCGTGATCTTGAAATTACTGTTACTGAGCTCTTTTATTGACCCCATGTTTGTTTTAGTTGCACCCACAAACCCAGCTCTCTATCCGGCCTGAGTTCTCTAGTGCGCCCCTAGAGGAGCACTCCAGTACTACAAGTATGTAGTAGCAGCAAGTACATGAACAAAGGTGCAACCTGCTCCAACGCAAGGCTAAACAGCAAGTATATTCCGACCTTAAGAAGCCACATCATACTTTCGTTACTCCAATATTGGTTATAGAAGGCTAACGTTGAGCTAACAATGCTAATGGCGAATTAGAAGCAAGTAGTCTGCACTAAAATGTCTCAAGCTACATTTTAAATTACCAACTTGATATTTCAGTGAAATCTATGTGAAATGAATAAGTCAAACGTGGAGTTTTACTTTGTTAAATAAGTAATTCAGAGCTCCAACAGCAAGCTAATGGCAAGACAACGAACAACCACGCTTCATCTATGCTAAGCCCCCTTCAGACAGGCCATGAAAAACGGAAATGTTCGGGACTCTGTCCTTAAGACCTTTGTGTCTGAATACAAACATCCGGATAACCTTTTCCATAATTAAACCGGACGAAGCCCCTGGTAACAGGACCGGACTTGTCACGGACAGGGTGGCTGCTTCAGACTGGTGAGGTCAAGTTCCGGACAGGGAGGGGGGGACCGGGGGACGCTGTGCACACCTAGATAGCTCGCTCCTGTAGCATGCGGCGAACCATGGCAGCTCGCCTCCCACGGTACCGTCTCCTAGACGCGCGACGGAGCGCTTCACACCGCTTCAGTTATTCCTTTAACCATTGAGCTTCATCATCCAGGTCTCGTATGCGTCTTCGTGTGCGCAGAATTATGCTTAACATAAGTCCGATCAGTGAGAGGAATTCTATCTCTTCGTCGGCCATGTTTGACTGAATAGCTTTGTTTGGGTAAATGACGCATGTACGCCCGCCGCACCATGTTTACGCAATATACAGGTACAGCCTTCCCACCCCCTCCCCCTCAGACATCTGGAACTTTTCCCTGCTGTGGGAAGGCAGCCGAAAGGACAAGTTCAGGTACAAAAGTGGCGCGTCTGAGAACACAGTTCTGGTTAAAAACCGGACCGAATTGTCCACACATATTCCAGAATGTCAGTCTGACAAGGGCTCTAGAGGCATATTACAGTAATAAGTGTAGTAAGTGCTCCCTACCGTAAAACACACGAGTGCTAACACCAGATATGACATTGTACTCATCTACTTATCAACCTACTGTGTATGACTCGTCTTTGCTTGTTATCTAGAATCTTCTGGTGCTGATCCTGGCAACAGCCACGAAACTCACGGAACAGGAGTGAGAAAGTGATTGCAGTAACTAAAATTGACCACAGGATGTCATTTCTACTTCATCCCTACATATTGCACCTTTAAATGTAAAGCAGTTTTTTTCTTTTAATACAGGTATTTCAAACGTTTAGACTGTCAGAATAAAACCAGTTATTCTTGTTCTCAGATGATTGTTTCTTTCGTCTGAAAGCTGACTACACGAATAAAACGTTTACCTCCCCGGGGTACCCCAACGGCTACCCCTCCAAGTCTCGGTGTCAGTGGCAAATTCGGACCTCTGAGGGGAGCGCCATCTCTGTCAGCTTCCCAACTTTTGACATTGAAGACGACTGCAAAAACGACTTCGTATCCATCTTCGACTCTTTGAGTCCTGATTATTCTCAGGCCATCACATCGTGAGTAGAGTCCAAGAATGATGCTCTTGTTACAATAAATCTTGGTATGTTTATTAGTAATATTGACTCCACGAAGAATTTCAGTGAAATCTTCAGTGATTTGTTTGATTTATTTATCTCATGTTTTTGTCCTTCCTGTGACAAAGACCTTTATATAAAACAGTAACAGCTTCCAGTATTTTTCCAAATAGCCTCATTATGAAAACTGTGTAATTAAATTCCTGACATTCTTCTATGGTGTTTAGTTTTGGTATGGCATCCTAGATTGTCATTGTCCCCGCTTTGAAAACTTTCCGGAGGCTCTCCGGCGGAGATCACGTTCCTGTTTTTGTCCTAAACGTTCGTAGCGAGTTTGGTTTGATGGGATTCAGCCGGCGCTTGTCTCATTTATTTCACCTTGAAGATCAGAGCTTGAGATTTTCTAAATAATTCACTTTATATTTAAGTGAGGCATTGCAGAGGGAGCTGGGAATAAAGCTTGTTTTTCTGTGGGTGGAACATGTTTCACTTCATTCCTTTCCTTACATTTGTGATTACGACTTTCTTCCCCTTTTGCCTCTGAAGCCTGCAGCGCTGCCGTGTTCCTTCTTATTGTCGGCTTTTGAGACCTCCGTGAGATTGAGTTGACTCAAAAAGACCTCTCTCTCTCTCTCTCTCTCCCTCCCTCCCTGTCTCTCTCTCTCTCGCTCTCTCTCTCTCTCTCCAAACCTGCGGAAGGTGGCAGCTTGAATCCGACTGCACCAAGGTGTGTAATTGCATTTTGTCTGTGGGGGAGGGGAGGTTTCCCTTCCAATAGCTTTATGGATCTACATGTAACCTCACGTAGATTTTACTAGAGGTGGTTAACATGAAAATCTTTGTGGTTTAACACCGAGTGGACCAGATCAAAAGATTCTAGACTCTGAGGAGCAAGTGGTGGAGTGACAACATGGACCAAGCAAGGTATATATAACAATGGTTTATTACCAGCATTTATAACCCACTTAATATATAACAAAGCGCTTTGTGAAATAAAATAAAATGAAATAAAATAAAATAGTAAAATGAAATGTCACCAGTCTGTGTTTGTTCAGTCAGTCAGTCAGCTTGGCAAATGTTCATGAAATCCTTGTCAGTCAGATCTTGGGTTGAAGTCGAGTTCAGGTGAGTGACAGACCAGTTAATCACCGGCTTGATGGTTTGGTTGGGCTGGGGCTCGCCATCCAGAACTGGAACAAGAATCTTCAATTCACCGAGGTGAATCAATCCAAAATAAAAAACCTGACCTAGAGAAGGTCAGAATACAATATTTTAATGCTGAACTGTGGTTTACAATCTGCATTAGTCCCATGAAATCAATTCCTTTACAATTAAATCACACGTTGTACAACAATTAATTCAGTTCAAGTAGGTACCATAAGATAATGAAGTCACTAAATTACCAATATATCAGTTGAAATGAGTTTCCAACAAGAAATTCTGTAATAAGCTTCAACTCCTTTTCATATCACAATTTTATAAACTGAGCAATAGTGTTTTAATTGGTCATTTAAAACACTCATCACCTCCACATCTATAACCATCTTTCCAGTTAAGGTAAAACTGCAGGAACTAATATTTAAGTGCCAAGTTAGTTCTAACGGCTGTCGAAGGTTAGCAACGGGGCTAATATAGCTTAGCATGAATTAACACACATACACACTAATAGACTCACCAAGAAAAGTCAGCTTGGTTTACACGGGGTTTCCCAAGGGTAACGGCAAATCACGGTCTTCGGACCTCTGTATCTCTACAGCGTAACAAATAACTTGTCACTATTACACAGCAACAGTACCTAAACATGAAAATTTTATCCGCTTACCGAACTTGGAGTAATTGTTTTTCAAGTAACGGCTGCTAGTGCATCCTAGTTTGCTCTTCACGGCAAGTGCTTCCTCGTCAGCGTCTCAGCGCGTCTGAAGGCAAGTGAAAGCTGCGTAGCGAGCAGCAGAAAGTGCTAAATTCTATTGGCTGATGCAATAGCTGGCTAGCCACGTGATTGGTTAGTCAGTTGCTACCTGAATTTTACTGGAACTTTCTATTTACTCGATTTTAGCTTTTCTTATTTGACTATTTTCAAGAAGTTTGTATTTTCTTTTCTTTTTATTTTTATTTTTAACTATTAATGTATGAATGCTTAGATTTCTATTTATCTTATTTGGTCTTTTATCCTGTTTTAACTGTTTTGTAAATTTCCATTTATATTTCATTATTCATTCTAATTATGTAATGATGTTTCTATTGTAATCTGGGTTTTACACCGGGTTACACTGTCCCCTCTAGAATTATGCAAGTCCCTTTGCATAGAATCGCTAGACCTCAATTATCGGTGTGCTAGTGTTTGAAGGTGTAATGCTTGAATTTGCTTCAGTTAATGCACTTGTGAAAGCTAAATTCAATCCTTGAAACAAGGACTGTGCAATAGATACAAGAGGGCTTCCCAATCTACTGTATTGTAGCCTATTAGGTTGAGTTGTTGCTCTCTCTGAGCGTCTCAAAGTCTTTGGGGTTTCGCTCGCAGTATCTAACCGATTTCCTATTTCATCATCTAGTCCTCCTCCTCCTTCAGGTTCACTGCAGGTAGGTCCTTCAGGTAAGTTATTTTTGGTTTTCGTCTTAAGTTCATCATTTACAGATTCCACATCTGTTTTGCTTCCTTCTAGGCTTCCTTCATCCGTTATGGCTCCACATTCAGGTAAGTTTTCAGGTTGAGTTTTCATTTGACAATCAGGTAAATCGCCAGGTTCAGTACTCATTTCCCTTGCTGGTAAATTACCAGGGTGAGTACGCATTTCACATTCAGGTAAGTTTTGTTCAGTTATTTGGGATTCTACCAAATTCTGCCGTTCCAGGCACTTACTTGGCCAAGGAATCTCTAGAACCTCAGTAAAAGTTATGGGCTCTTGCTCAGGTTCCTTTCTGAACCAGTAGACATCCTCACCCTCTGATTCTAAGTTCTCACGGTCAGCAGGTAAACTACGGGACTGCCTGGTTCTTGGTTTGCCAACGCAACTGGGTCGAACAAGGTCTTCCTTGACAAGGGCAAGAAACCCACAAGGGAGTAAAAGATCGCGGTGGACAGTACGAACTGGGCCTTCTTTAGCTTCAGGCTTTATAGTGTAAACGGGCAAGTCACCTGCTTGGTGCAGCACCACATAAATGTCAGCCTCCCACCTGTCGGCTAGTTTGTGCTTACCTCTGAGACGAACTGCTCGAACCAGGACTCTGTCACCTGGTCCTAACCTAGAGGGTTTTATTCGGGTGTCGTATCGCATTTTGTTCTTTTCTGCCATCTTTTGAGCATTTTTGGTTGCTAACTTGTAGCTTTCTTGTAACATTGCTTTGAGTTTTTCTATATACTCAGAGTGTGACTGGAAATTTTTACAGTGAAGGGGAAGTCCGAATGCTAAATCAACTGGTAGTCTGGGCTGTCGGCCAAACATTAGCTCGTATGGAGCAAAACCAGTGGTGTCATTTCTGGTACAGTTGTACGCGTGTACAAGTGGTTAAACATAGTTGTGCCTAGGGTTGTCACGGTATGAAAATTTAACCTCACGGTTATTGTGACCAAAATTATCACGGTTTTCGGTATTATCGCGGTATTTTTTATACGGTGTTGCATATGTTCAGAAAGCATTGATAGTCCTGTTCTACACAAACTGAAATAGTTTTGAAAAGGTTTAACAGTGTTTATTAAACCTAAAATAACACAAGCCTTAGCAAAAGTGCAACTTTTCACAAGTAAAGGAACAAATAGCTTCTTTTTCTGGAACGTGTTACAGTAGTCAGTGCAGGTTTAAATTATACAAATCCAAACATTCAAAACATAAACAATATGTAAACAAATCAAAGAAACACCACTTGTTTTCTCATATACTTGTTTTCTTCATTATCAAAATGAAAATCTAAAACTCCAGTCCACACTTGACTTGAGCACTGTACAAGTCAACCTTAAAAAAATATGTATTTAAAATAAATAGCCACTTTAAACAAATTACTAAAATAACTACTACACAATGTAATCAAATCCAAATGTTCAAGTATAAATGGCATTGAATAAGTAAACAAATCAATGACAAGGAACTAATTGTATATTTCTCTTCATCATCAACAAATACGATGCTTCATCCAGCAACAGGGTGTCCGTGACACGGTTTAAATGCTGGCAGAGGATGCTGCGGCTGCAGTATATAGTGACTCGTTGCATTCTCCGTCAACCAAAAGTCCTCGCGTCATGCATTTAAGCTAAAATGCTAATGTTATCTTACCTTGCACTGGCTGTAGAGACGTGGGTGATGGTCACGCAGATGTGCCATTAGATTCGAAGTGTTGCTGCCTTTTGCAGACACTTGTTTCCTGCACGTTCTGCAAACGGGATAGCAGTCTTCTATTAACTGTCCCTCAGCATTTTTCAGAAATCCAAAATATGCCCATACTTCCGAGTTAGTCTTCTTTGAGGGCTGATGGATGTCCTGGGCGCTGCCGTCTCCTCCTTCGGCCATTATTTCAGCTTCAAAGTTTTGGTAACGTTGCAAACTAAAAAGTGCGTGTGCGCGCCGCGGGAACTTCAGCTGAAGCGACGGTGGCTGGTAAGGGTCACCGCGCTGAAACCGCGGCCACGGTAAACCCACCGAGATAATTTAGTTTTTTAAAAACTGGACGGTTATTTTTATTGTCAACTTTTTTACCGGGGTTTACCGCTATACCGGTTACCGTGACAACCCTAGTTGTGCCACTGAGTCTTGTCTTTCTCTTCCAGGGTACCTAGCATACTCAATAACGTTCGATTGAAACGTTCAACTGGGTTCCCTCTGGGGTGATAAGGAGTCGTCCATATTTTTCTAGTACCAATAAGTTTACAAAGCTCTTGTATGAGGCAGGACTCAAAATCGGGGCCCTGATCACTATGTAGTCGTTCGGGTATCCCGTAGTGGACTATGAAATTGTCCCAAAGTGCTTTTGCAACAGTTGGGGCTTTTTGA